GATGAAATCGGATAGGGATGAACGGGTTTAAGAGTTTTTAAGAGTTTAAGAGTTTTTAAGAGTTTTAGCCAAATGCTTTATAATATAGTATAGATATCAGATGACAATGGAACATGTATTTTAGGTCAATAGAATGAAGTGACGTCATAAATGAAAGGATGTTTGGTCGGCCCAGTGGGCTTGACTTAGGTCACTCCAATTTTCGACCCAACTACGTGAAAGGATGTTAGGCCGGTCCTGTGGGCTTGATTTAGGTCACACCTATTTTCGACCCAACTATTTCAGTCTATAAGGTTTAGGCACCATTGGGCTTCAAGGTGGTGAATGTTACGTAACATGGCCCATTTTCATGGGTTGGAACCGTTGGGTAGGTTTTAGTACTCAACCCATCCGGTTTATGTGCAATCCTATTCACAAATTTGAAATCAACGATGGTTTAGCTCACTAGCCTTAAAACCGTTTTAGAGTATTTCCAACCCAAAATACAACCGACATGTTTATGAGTATTTAATTTACCAAAACCACACTACAACAAAAAGGAATTTATAGGACCCTTATTAGTGTCCTAATAAGGTAGTTAATAGGACTGTTAAGTTTATAGAACAAAAAGTATGTGTCTCATCTAAATGTGTTGTAATCAGTTAATGGGATGAATTTAAGCGTCCCAAAAAATTATAGGATTATGATACAAATTCCATAGTCTTATAAAATGGTTTAAGTAACACTAAAAAGTGTTCTAATAGACTATAATATAGGACACTTTATGTTGTCACAAAACGTTTACGTTTAAAAACAATTATGGGCGTCCCAAAAAATGGGTTTATAGGACGAAATTCAATGTCGCTAAAACAATTATATAGTACTAAAATATGTGTCTTAATAAGTTATATAACTATGAAACAAATTTTAGAGTCTTATAAAATGAACTAAGTAATACTAAAAAGTGTTCTAATAGGCTATAATAATTAACACTAAAAACGTTCTAAATACTATAATGCGAGACACATCATCCAGTTATAAAATCCTTCTGTAACGTTACATTTAAAAGCATATATGAAAGTTTTACGAATTGATTCGATAGAACAAAATTCGAAGTTGTACAAGTACTTATATGAGTACCAACTACCAAGCTATGTATCCACCACAAAGTTGTATCAAGACAAAATTAAGTACCGAACAAGAATTACACAAATACAAAAAATCTTCCTGTGCCCTACAAACGAGAGATATCAATCTTCGTCATGCACAACCTACAATTGAAAAACCAGATATATGAGCTTAAAGTTATACTAATAAAACAATTCTACACTTGCTAAATCTCACAAGTGTTGAAAGATTGACATACTAAAGTGAAATGACAAGGTCATGCGATTGTTGCTTCAATAGCGTCTTCAATTGTAATAAACAATTCGAACGTTCGACTAAAACCTTTTCTCGGACATTGGTTGAACCAACCTAATTTTGTAGTTTAACATGCCTGGTACTTTGGTATAGAGATGACCAAAAATCGGTCCCGGGCCAGGCCTTAACCGGTTACGGCCGGTCCTAATCGCGACAAAAACCATCCTTAACCGGTCCCTCTATAACCGGTCCCGGTCCCGATGAAAAACTCTATAACCGGTCAAGCTTGCCCATAACCGGTTAAGCCGGCCGGTCCCGGTTTCGGTCCCATAACCGGTTACGGCCGGTCCTTTGAAA